GAGGCTGACGTTTCGGGCCTAGGCCCGAAACGTCAGCCTCTCTGCTCCTATGATGCTGCTTGGCCTGCTGTGTTCATCCAGCCCTGCACCTTGTTGTCTCTCATTTTATGTCAAGTTTAGTCATGGACAGCTGCAATACCAGTGTTAAGGGGTGCAAGGAAAATTCTGCTAGTTAAGAAAACAATTTAAACTGAAACCTTGCCCCATTGATACATTTTCTTCCTCTTCTTTAATACCGTTCTTTGATTTAGCAAATCATTCTGCGTTGCCACAACATTGTGATGCAGATCTAACAAGGAATCAATGATGCGCTTTCTCTTCCAGAATTTCCAGTGGTGCTTGAATGGACAGTATTGATTCTGCCCCATTGATTTACAAAACTGAATCCAACAGAAAAGGTCAGGGTCAAGTGCAACCCGAGACTTCAGTAGCTGAAACTCCCTCACACTTAGCTCCTCAACGCGAGGTCTCACTTCTCACAAAACTTCAGTGGCTGAAGGAGACTGAGGGGACACCAACCTCAAGTGGTGAAGACCGATGCTGTCAGCTGCCGATGCCCTGCAGAGACTCCCAGCCACACTGCCTCCTGATGTGGGTGATCGACCCCCAGCGGACAATCCCAGCCATGACCTTGTCCCAACGCTGAGGTCTTCACTCAGAAGGGATCCCATGCTTGATCGGCTGTCACTGCTTTCAAAGGAGAGAGGAAGAAAGTCACAGAACTGCAGTCAACAGTATTTGTATCTGATCTAAATCTACCTTCAATTTTGCTCAGCAGGGGTAGCCTGAGAATAAAGGATAGTAAAATACCAGCCAGAATCAAACAGAATATTTACTTTGATGTGGGGAAATGATTTGTTATTTCTGCAAGTCCGTATGTGGCAGTAAGAATAAATAAGGGGAGTTAGCACTATCGACATTCACTGTAAATAAAAGCTTCCTAAGCACAAATCCTGAATCTGGTATAAGGAGATAACAAGGTGTAAAGCTGGATGAACACAGCAGGCCAAGCAGCAAAACTTTCTGATGAAGGGTCTAGGCCCGAAACGTCAGCCTTCCTGCTCCTATGATGCTGCTTGGCTTGCTTTTTTCATCCAGCTCTACACCTTGTTATCTCAGATTTTCCAGCATCTGCAGTTCCTCCTATCTCTGGTATAAGGAGTTGAGTAACTTTCTTACAATTGCAACTGTCTTAAGTGTGTGAAAAAGGCACTTTGTAGACATCTGCATGCAAGCCTGCCAATCCCCTTCCAAGATTTCCAAGCCAACACACTCAAAGAAAGTCATTCCAACACAGGTCACAGCACAGAAACCTTTTCAGAATGGAGCACAATCGAAAGAGCAAGGATTGTCAGTGTCTTAAAATGACAGAGAACAGTCTAATGGGCCAGTTTGGGGTTGACAGTCAGAACTGGAAATGCACTGAACTGACCGCAATAAGGAGTGGGGGGAGATCAACTAAATAAATATATTAACCAGGACCGTTGAACTGACAGTGTTGGAGCACATTCATCCCTTCATTCACATGATGGCTCTCTGAGAGAGCGCTTAGATCCGTATACCTTAATTTGCATCACTGGCTTTCAAACAATGTTCAAATATATATCCATTTCCCATTGTGTCTTCAACCACAGCTCAGATGGTAGCAGCGTTACTCCGAGGTACAAGCTTCTGGGTTCAACCCCACGTTAGAGCACAAACATCACACACACACACACACAATTGAAGGGACCATCTTCTGGATTGTAGAATCCAGTTGGCTCAAACAGTCCACATCGACCTGCCAAACAGCATCCCCCTACCCTAGCAACCATTCATTTCCCATAGCTAATTCACCTAACCTGCACTTCTCTGGATACTATTGGGTAATTTAGCGTGGCCAATCCACTCTAACATGCATATCTTTGGACTGTGGGAGGAAACCAGAGCACCCAGTGGAGACTCAGACAGACACAGGGAGAATGTGCAAAGTCCACACAGACAGCCACCTGAGGCTGGAATCATACCCAGGTCCCTGGTGCTGTGAGGCAGCAGTGCTAACCACTGAGCCACCATGCCATCCTTGAAATGTCAAGCTTTGCCCACATGGCATGGAAAGAACCCACGGCTTTTAATCAAGGAAGTGGAGTTCTCCCCAGAGTCCTTAACCATCATCACAAAACAAAAATCACATTATCAGGTCGTTGTCACATCAGCGGTTGTGAGTAGGTTGGCTGTTGTGTTTCAAACAGTACAACAATGGCCTCATTTCCAAAGTATTTCATTGGTTGTACGGTGACTTGAGATTTCTGGTGTAAAGTGCCATATAAATTCAAAACCTGGTTTCTTTTCCATGTGATTCTGCTCTCATCCCTTATTTATTCACCATTTCAAAAATCCTGCATTAAAAAATTCTCCTAACTTATCCCTTTTAATGGAAATTCTAAATATACATTTTCTCATTACTGACCAATGAAGATGGTTTATCGTGATTAGCTAGCTGTGCAATTCCAGCATTTTTACACTTCCCTTTCATGTTTGTATAATAAAGTCACCATAGGGCTGCTGGCTCATTACAGAGACAACTGGTGGTAGTTTAACCTGAGGGTCACCATGCCTCAGGCGAGGGGATAGTCCTTCAGAGTAACCTCAGCCAGTGTGGGAATAGAACCCACACTGTTGGCATCTCTCCGCATCACAAACTTGCTGACTAGCCAACAAATCGACCTGTAGTATGTACCTTCAAACCCTGCTCCTTCCAGGTGAGGGCTGCAAAATAGGCTGCAGCTTTCATCTGGGCGTCTCAAAGGCAAAGAGGCACGTGTCCAATTGTAAAGAAAAGATTTAGCACCCGCTTATCCCCACCTAACGCAAATCCAGTCAATCACCAGGGACCCTACCAAAAAGACAACAGACAATATTGGAAGAGATAACAAGGTGTAGAGCTGGATGAACACAGCAGGCCAAGCAGCATCAGAGGTGCAGGAAAGCTGATGTTTCGGGCCTAGACCCTTCATCAGAAATGGGGGAGGGGAAGGGGGTTCTGAAATAATTAGGGAGTGGGGGGAGGCGGATAGAAGATGGATAAAGGAGAAGATAGGTGGAGAGGAGACAGACAGGTCGAAGAGGCGGGGATGGAGCCAGTAAAGGTGAGTGTAGGTGGGGAGTTAGGGAGGGGATAGGTCAGTCCACGGAGGACGGACAGGTCAAGGGGGCGGGATGAGGCTAATAGGTAGGAGATGGGGGTGGGGCTTGAGGTGGGAGGAGGGGATAGGTGGGAAGAAGGACAGGTTAGGGAGGCAGGGACAAGCTGGGCTGGTTTTGGGATGCGGTTGGGGGAGGGGAGATTTTGAAGCTTGGGAAGTCCACATTGATACCATTGGGCTGCAGGGTTCCCAAGCGAAATATGAGGTGCTGTTCCTGCAACCTTTGGGTAGCATCGTTGTGGCAGTGCAGGAGGCCCAGGATGGACATGTCGTCTAAGGAATGGGAGGGGGAGTTGAAATGGCTCACGACTGGGAGGTGCAGTTGTTTAGTGCGAACCGAGCGTAGGTGTTCCGCAAAGCGGTCCCCAAGCCTCCACTTGGTTTCCCCGATGTAGAGGAGGCCACACAGGAACAGCGGATACAGTATACCACATTAGCAGATGTGCAGGTGAACATCTGCTTAATGTGGAAAGTCTTCTTAGGGCCTGGGATGGGGGTGAGGGGGGAGGTGTAGGGGCAGGTGTAGCACCTCCTGCAGTTGCAGGGAAAATTGCCAGGGGGTGTGGTGGGGCTGGAGGGGAGTGTGAAGCGGACAAGGGAGTCCAGGAGAGAGTGGTCCCTCCGGAAAGCAGATAAGGGTGGGGAGGGAAAAATGTCTTTGGTGGAATATGGGGGATCAGAGACTTCCATGACATTCTAAGTCTGGTTCTCTTCGGAATGGAACCCGCCTGAGATCTTTGGCTGCTTTATCCTCACATCACCACACTGCACACCCAGCTTTTAATTCTGAGAAGATCCATCCTAACTGCTTTTATGGGCAAGTTTATCCAGTTAGTGCCAATTACAACAGAGGCATCTTAAAATCAATTTTAGTTTATAAGAACTGCCAAAATGAGTGTTAGGAGTCAGAGTTAAGAACAGAGGCAATTAAATAAGGGGTTTAACAATTAAATAAAGCTTTTAAGAGCTTAAGGAGGAGGAAAATCAACTAAGGAATGATAGAATAGATTTGATTACAAATAAAAAAAGAAAATGAAAGTTAATGATACAGTAACTGGGTGATCTCCCATGGGTTGATCATGAACAATCAGTGTTTTTATAAGGTCGGCTGTTACTTCAGGGATATTGACTCCTGAGCAACTGAGGTGCGCCAGGAAGAAGTAAATTTAACTCCAACCAGTTCAAACCACGTAGGCTGATAGTTTTCTGATGAAGGGTCGAGGCCCGAAACGTCAGCCTTCCTGCTCCTGTGATGCTGCTTGGCCTGCTGTGTTCATCCAGCTCTACGCCTTGTTATCTCTAGGCTGATAGTTAAAATGTCCAAAGGGGACATACCCACCGAGCCTCTGTTCTATTTCCCCAACCCCCGCCCCCCCCCCCCCCCCACACCCCACCTCCCCCCCCACACCCCCCCACCACTACACACACCAGAGCTATGATAGAGTTCCCCTTGGCTTCATTCATCATCCAGCATCCGCCGTTTTGAACACATTATCTCCTGTTATTTTCATCGCCCTTCAGCATGATGCCACCACTAAACACATCTTCCCATGCCAGCATTCCAAAGGACCTGTTCCCACTCTTCAGTCTCTCCCAGGCTGATGCTGCAATGTAGAGCTGAGGTTAAAATCAGATCAGCCGTGGTCTTATTGAATGGCAGAGCAGGCTCGAAGGGCCGAGTGGTCTAATTGTTTTCCCTGTTCTCATGTTCATGTGCGCCAATGCCAGCCCCTTGCCTACGACACTTCATCTGTAATGTTTGCATGGAAAGCTAACTGTCCTTGAACCTCCTCTCTTCACTGTTCAAAGCTCCAGACACTCCATCCAGGTGAAAGAGTCATTCCCTTGTACTTCCTACAGTTTAATAAACAAGATTCACAATGTGAGACAACAAGGTGCAGAGCTGGATCTATGATGCTGCTTGGCCTGCTGTGTTCATCCAGCTCTGCACCTTGTTGTCTCGGAATGTCCAGCATCTGCAGTTCCTACGATTTAAGATTCACAATGTGGTCTGCTCCTGCTTGGAGAGATCAAACGCAGACTGAGTAATCTCGCTGTTGAATACTTCGTTTATTTTTTATTCATTCATGGGACATGGGCACCACTGGCTCGGCCAGAATTTATCCCCCACCTCTTGTTGCCCCTGAGAAGATGGTGATAAGCTGCATTCTGGAACCAATGCAGTCAATGTGCTGTAGGTTAACCAACAATGCCATTCAGGAGGAACTTCCAGGATTTTGACCCAGTGACATATTTCCAAGTCAGGATGATGAGTAGCTTAGAGGGGGACTTGCAGGCAGTGGTGTTCCAATATACCTGCTGCCCTTGTCCTTCTCGATGGAAGTTATCATTGGTTTGGAAGATGTTACCTAAGGATCTTTAGTGAAATTTTGCAGTGCACCTTGTAGATATTACTGACTGCTGCTATAGCGTGTCAGTGGTGGAGGGAGTGGATGCTTGTGGATGTAGTACCAATCAGGTTGGTTGCTTTGTCCT